TCTTTTCTCCATTAAGTTAACATTCCTGAACTTTTCATGGGGAACCTTCCTTCAAATTAAGTGAAAAAAGAAGGGAGGGAGACATGTGTGTTTATTCATTTGCAGTATTCAGACTCAAGCTACTGACTGAAGTTTTCGATGTGGCATACAATATATTCCAAAAATAATAAAACAAAGAAGAGTTAACCAGGGCAGGGCAAAGGTGTATATGGGTGAGATGCTGGATTTATGTATAAGCTAAACAAGCTATTGCTTAGGGCTCCACTCTCTTGGGCCCCCCAAAAAAATCTAAAGGAAAAAAACCTGGATGTACATTTCCAAAATATAAGATAAGTTCAACAATTACTTTGATAAAATACATGTTTTGTTATGTGCAAATGGCTTTAGATACCTGTTTGGTCCATAAAGTACTATATACCATATATTCAACACAAAAAACAGCAACAATTTGTTGTTGACAAAGGACAGCTGGACATATAAAGGGCCCCATTACCTTCAGTAGCTTAGGGCCTCATCAAACCTAAATCTGGCTCTGCTGGCACCACAACAGTATGTCTGTTTGCCAGGGGGTTGGACTAGATGACCCTCGTGGTCCCTTCCAATGCTGAAATTCTATGATTCTATTATCTCAGTTACATTGCTTGACTGTAGCCTACTCTTACAACAGTTCATTTGCCCCAGTATGCAAGGAGGAGAAACACACACACAATGGAAATGGTATTAACTGGAAATTTTTAAACTGTGGCCTCTGAGTTCTGTTAGGGTGACCTATGGAAAGGCTGCAGCGCAATAGATCTGTACTCAGTCCTACACTTACTTTGCTTGATGTGATGATGGGAGGACTAAGATGCCCAGCAAGGAGTCCATGAGTCACGCGGCAGCACAGGAGCACAAGACGCTCATCTGTGGCTCTGCACAAGTCAGCTAACTCAAAGGAGATGTCAGCTGCCAACCTGGCGCTCAGAAATCTCCACGTAGTTGCAATTGGATCTGCACCAGTGGCAGGACACGCCTGGCACCCAGGGAGTTTTGAACACTGCCCCTCACCAGCCTTAGTTCCCTCTCTCCTTGAGCATTTTTGCATGGCTGGGATGTGTCTTTGAACTCTGATAATGCCTCTTGCTTGCCTGGTTTGAGGATAGAGAAGGGGTGTGGGTAGAAAACTATTCTACTGCACAAAGGGGAAAAAACATGCATTGCTCCGCCTGCTTTTGCCTCTGCCCCCCCTCCACTAGAGACATGTGCCCCCCCACAAAGGTTGCCGAGATGAGCATGTGGCCCTCATTCTGAAAAAGGTTCCTGCCCCTGCCTTTCCCATAGATCTCTGGCACAGTGTTGTTTTTTCCCAAGGAGTGCTCAAAGGTACGCAGCACCAGCACCTCTTCTTTGTTGTTAAAAAGTGTGGCACTTACTGTAACTTCACGGTGAGCACCTGTTTTTCTAGAAAAAAAAGCTCCGATGTCCTGACTCCCATTCTGCAGCTGAATCTCCTAGCCTGGAAATAGCTGTTGGAACAAGCAGGTGTTATGCCCCTCACCTGCCTTCTTCACTGAACTGTTGCTCATGTTTATTGCAGATGCAGGTAGCATTGGAAAATCAGAAGTGTTAATAACCCCCCGCCCACTTCCCCAGCAGGCCTCCAGGCCTCCGATGCTCCTACTGCCACTACGACGTTGGAGAAGTAATTCTCTATTTCTTGCCCTGCGTTGTTATGGTTGTTGTCAGTCTTTCAAGGGCCATCGGCTGACACAAGACGCGAACAGCTGCCATGTTACACCAAAGGGAATGCACAAAGGAGTGGGTGGTCTACCCTTGGTCTAAGGGCCCACTCGACACAGAGAATTTTGGGTTGGGCAGAGAATCAGGCTCAGTCCTCCTGGAGCAGGTGGTTGAATGTCTACAGAGAGCCAGTGGGGCATAATGATTGATTTGTTGGTCTGGCACAGGGTAGATGCAGCCACAGAGGTCACTGGGTGCCCTTCAGATACGGAATCATTGAATTGTAGAGTTGGAAGGGGCCGTGAGGGTCATCTAGTCCAACCCCCAGCGGGGCAGGAATATTCAGGTGGCCCCGTTTGGGGGTTGAACCCATGACTTTCGCCGTTTACCATCCCTCAGCCTAGCCTTCCCTACAGGGTTTATATGAAAATGAAGGTGACCCCCAAGCTCCTTGGATGAAGGGTTGGGTAAAAATGTAATAAGCTATGGTTGGTATTCAGTTAAATTTCACTCAGAGTAGACCCACTGAAATTAATGAACATGGCCATGTTGGGTTCCTTACTTCTAATGGGTCTACTCTGAGCACAACTTTGAATTTTACACTCTAAAACCCTTGGGAATGGAAAAAAAGGAAGAAACTAGATGGACCTTTTGATTGTAAGTTCCAAGGTTATGTTTCTGCGAATGTTTGCACAGCATACCTTCCCAAGGTTTTGTTTTATAAGTGAGATTTATCTGTGAAGTTCCTGACACGGCTGTTTTTCTTTCATTTGCTCTGCCTCCCTCTCTCTAAATGTCACGTTCTTAATATCTTCTCTAGGGCTTCATTAGGATGTTTAGCGTTGGTTACTTGATCCAGTGTTGCCTTCGGATCCCGTCAGCATTCCGGCATCTGTTTACAAAACCTTCCCGGCTGCTCTCGCTCCTCTACAACAAAGAAAATTTCCAGCTCGGGGCTTTTCTGGGGTCATTTGTCAGTATATACAAAGTAAGTTTCTAAAGTGCTGAAAAGTTAAAAAGTTGGAATTTAATTATCCTAAAGTTGCTTCTTTGCAGCAGCAGAAATATTTAACGAGCATCTGTATCATTCTAGGGACTGAGCCACATAACCCACCACAGACACATGCGGACCATCTTTTTTCTTTAAGAAATAAATTGCATTAAGGGCACTAATCAGCAAGTTGAATTGTGGGGGGTGGCTGTGTTTTTTACTAAATGGGGAGCATTTTTATTGAGCGTTAGTAGAATATTGGCTCGTTTGGTCGCAAGTGGGGAGAATCCCCTTGATTTCTGTTTCCTTGACCATGGAGGAATTTTGTAATCACTGCCGGGCGACATTGTTTTGTAACTTAAAAGGGAAAAAAAACTAACAAAAAGGAAACAAGCTTAGCTTGAAAAGAGGTGAGGAAGTCAATGTGATGAGCAGTTTTAGAATGCGTCAATGAACTGGGAGTCTGAAAGGCGTGACACATATCTTGTTTGCAAGACAGAGAGAAATCTTCATTTATTAGTGCAACACAGCAGATCGCATCGTTCTACTCTTGATCAACCCACTAGACTCTCTGAGAGCAACCACACCACTCGAGGCTATATATAAATGACGCTATAGCCAAGCAAACTTTCAGGTTTACCAGTATGCTCACTCTTTCTAAGGCCAATGTGTTGGGAAACTGTGTACGTGCAGCTACTCACACAGAGTCACTTAAGGTTTGGCAGACAGCCAGAAGGCAATCTGAAGGAGTAAGTCTGCCTGGTGATAACAGAGACATGGAGACCGCTCCCTGATTGGTCAAGCTCTCTCAAGGGAGTGATAATTAATGGCCTACCAAGTGAGTTCGTGAGTTCAGTGGTTCAGTGTGTCAGTAAGTGTAGGAGTTGTGAGTCATGTCAGAGAGAGCTAGCATGAGATCCGTGTTCTGTTCCTGTAAATAGTCCACTGTATATAATAAACACCTAACTACAAGTTCCTGGTTCCTGCTTCGTCTATCCTGTCTGCAGCCAAGTTGCCAATCACTTCCGTGGACTCTGCGTGTACTCTGCTAGGTCTGGCTAAGGTCCTGCAACTAGTCAGAAAGTTGCGAAACACCAAATAGGTTTTGCCAAAAATGCACTTCGGAACTTTTCCTCTAGAAAGCCTTTTCCTCTAGGCTCTCTTGTATACCTTCTAGGACCCTAAAAGTGCTGGTGGCAGAATTCTGAATTGTACTCTTCAAGTCTGAGAGGGGAGTCTCTTTCGCTGAAGCACCAGTTTACTACATGCAGAGAGCTTTTTCCACTAGCATTAATATGAACCCCCTCCCCGAAGCAGTACACTCCAGAATTCTTACCACCCCATTCCAAATAATGTGCCGAATGTCTGGAAGCAATTCCTTCCTATTGGCAGTTTTCAAGCAGCCAAGTAGTATATTGACTCAGGTGAGGAGCAGTTTGGGTGAAACGTATGGAAGGGAAGGAAATGGTATTTTGAAAAACAAAGAGGCTGTGTATATATGAACAATTTCAGATTGGGCTGAGGCTTTGTCCTTGTTTCAGAATGACCTTCTAGTCTATCTCCAAATACCATGTTGAGATTACTTTATAAATCATCATGCTGAGCAGCTACTAAGTGTTCATCAAGAGCCAGAGCCGTAATCAGAGGGTTTAAGTTGACTTGATTAAATTTTTAAGATATAATTGAGTGCTTTGTTACTAGATTATACCTCTAACAAGGTTGATGTGATTATCCTCAAAACACAGGGTACAAGCTGCTTCCTGCGCTGGGTACGGAATCTGGATGATGAACTGCATGCACTTATTGCAGGTATACCTCCATGTTTCTCCAAGGCAGTGGCCCACTTGCCCAGGGCTAGAACTTTCCATGTATTTGCCTACCCACTAGAGAGATGCTGGTTTGGAACCTGAGCCCTCTGCTTCCTTCTTTCATACGGTTTTGTCAATTTTGGGAAGGGAGCAGTGAGGAAACCTCCGTTGGAGATCAGCTCAGTTCCCGAGATGTTGTAAGAATTGGCCATGAACAATGTCAGGGACAGAATGTTTGCAATACGTCCAGCTTCTGTCAGCAAAGAAAAAGCCCCTTAGCCCTGCCTTTGGGCATCCAAACTCATCTTCCTGGCCACTGTGTGAATTTTGATTGTGGACTGTGTTGGTCTCTGGTCTGATCCTGCTGGACTCCTAAGCTGTGTTATCCCTTATTTGGATCATTGTTGCTACAGAATTTCATGTAGCACACAGTAAAAAATGTGACCGATTTGTTTCTTGTTCATCCAGGATCCTTGGCAGGAATGTCAATGATGTTCTACAAAAGTACTACTATCTCTATGTACCTGGCTTCCAAACTAGTAGAGGTAAGCGTATTGCGGCTTTGTTTGTGTGTGTGTGTAAAACAATCGGGAGGAAGAAAATTCTGAGCACATCTACTCCTTTGTAGCGGTTTGGAGCCAGTGGGTCTGTTACACCCACATCTGACCTGCATATTTTCATTTTAGGAAGGCGGAACTCTGTGTGGATGGGCAACAGAACAAGGATACCCCACATAGCAACATAATAATAATAATAATAATAATAATAATAATAATAATAATAATGGAAAAGGCACAGACCAGCAGGTGCAGGATGCTTCTTTGAGAACAGCAACCTGAGTGCAATGATGTTTGTATGCTTGCTTTGTTGCTGAGCTGGTATATCTTGTATTTTAAGCTAAAAGGTTGCTTCCACATGTTAATTTTTCCCTTGAGGAAAAGCAGCTCCGATCGAAATAACACCAGGAATCAGCTTGGAAGGATAGCATTTCATGCATCTGTTGGCTTTTCCCTTTTGTATCTTTTCACTTCACTAAATGATGAGGTCTACTGGTTCCAGACTTGCTGTGTAATATTGCACCACACAGCGGCTGCTTATTCTCTCCGGAGTTTACTCCAGGGCACTAGGACGCTGGTGAAAGCAGAATCTCTGCATGAATTGCCACGTCATGGCGGCCAAAAACCAGCCGACCAAAGAGGGACATGTTGCTTAGGAGGAGAAACGGTGCAGATAAAAATAAGCCTCCATTAAAAGGAAAACCAAAAATGCTTCGAAAGAGCATGCCATTTCAAGTAGTTTTTAGAGCGCTGATTAGTTACTGCTCTAAGAAAGAAAGAAAGAAGCACCAACACTATATAGAAGGTAGTTATATTGCTTGGATGTAAAATGTCCTCTAATGCAATATGATGTTAGGCAGCTGTTTACACTAGAAATACCTGTATTTTTCTGTCTATAAGACGCCCCCATGTATAAGATGACCCCTATTTTTTGAGCCCCAAATTAAGAAATAAATATTTTAAACATTCCATGTATAAGATAACCCCCAATTTTAAACTTAAAAAAATTGGGGAAAAACATAGTCTTATACACGGAAAAATACGATAAGTAGCAAAACTGCAAACATGTAAGTACTGCCCCATATCATTCCTGGAGTTTATTCCCACTCCTGCTGCAACTGATCGTGTCGTCTTAGTACGGTTCCCCTCTTCCTCACTCAGTTCCATGCTAGAAAGAGATGCATTGTAAGCTACGCAAAAACATTTAGCTAGTCTGCAATACATGTTTCCTTGTCACAGAATTTGGACATTTCCCCCAGCATTCTGGAGACTCTGTAAAAACTTAGGCCAGATTGGTATTTAGGTCTGGCGCCACCTGGCGGTCAATAGGCAGCACTGCAAGTTTGCAAAAAAATGAAATAAAGACTTCAAACAGGAAGCTACCCTCTTAGCTCCTCCCTTCTCCTTCCTTCTTCAGTTTCCCACTTTGCCTCGCAGAAATTGGTCCTTTCTTCCTTCGACACCTGGCATTCTTGGAGCAGGAAGGCATAAAGTGGAAGCAGTGGCCACTCTCGGCTCCACTGCATCTCTTGCCTTTGTAAGAATACTTTGCTCTGTGTTTCTTTCATTTAACAGGCCATGTATTTCAAAGGCATCGAAGCCGGAAAGGTCCCTTATTTTCCCCATGCCGACAGTATCATCTACGCTGTGTCCACAGCCATCTGCTTCCAGGCAGTAAGTGTTCAATCTTTAGTTGGAAGCTGCTTGATGTGTCTAAATCTATAAATCACAGTTGAGTAAAAATATTTAGAAGCAAGGAGACAGTTTGACCCTGCGTACAAAGGTTGGTAGCCTCTTTCCTGTGTTTCCCAATAGCAAGATTGCCAGAGCTTTTTATGCTGTTAGACGAGAAGACTTGCTGAGGCTTTCAGGGGAAGAGTGTGTGTTCCCGGAACATGTAGCAGCAGCTGTCTGCTGACTTGAGCAGCCATTGGACTTGAACCCATCCCTTCCTTTGTGTGACGTTAAAGCTGTGGCTGGTGGGACTGTTCTTCTGATTATTTTATTATTACGCTGTCTGTTTATGCTGTTATGTTTTTTATTATGTCTTTATTACATTTTTTTATTATGGATGCTCCGTAAAATGTGTTCTTAGTGTTGTACACTACCCTGGGATCTTTTGATAAAGGGTGGTATATAAATTGAAATAAGAATAATAAGAATATGGTTAAATTCAGATTTTGTTGTTGTAGGCCGTGATGGAAGTTCAAAACTTGAGACCTTCATATTGGAAATTTCTATTACGGCTAACAAGGGGAAGGTAAGTAACCAGCAGTGATTTTAATAGAGCAGTTGCAGATTGCAGTTCTGTGAGAAGTTTGGTACTCTTTCTTGGGAGAAAGATCGATAGTCTGCTAAACGAGGCCATCAGAAAGAAGAACCACCCCAAAGTATCTTACTGGCTGTATATTAAAAATATAGGATAGTTGTGGTCAGGAGAGCACCATTCCTTTTGAATTTCCCTGGTTTCTGCTTGTATCTCAAGGTTTCATTTCCATGTCTATTACCAACAATGTTTCTTAATTCAGGATTAAGAATGGATATTTGCATTTGCACACCATCACAGATCCTGTGATATGTGGAGTGTAAACATGCATACATATTTGTGGTTGTGTCTTTATTCTAACTTAAAAGGGCCATCTGCATTGGCGCTTCTGGAAGATAATTTCCATTCTGACTTCTTTTTTAAAAAACAGTCAACTACTTACACAAATACACCATAACGCTAAAGCAATCAATTGAAAATCGTGTCATATCTGACAGGCTTCACTCTTTGCAGTGATTAGGGTAGAATGCAGTTTGCGTGCAATGCCCCAAGTTTTAAATTAAAAGGAAGGGACAGGGTGGGTAGCTTATCTGAACACAGACATAAGTTAAAAATGGAGATAAATAAAAAGAGAAGAAGGCAAACAGGGAAGGAGAAATCTCAAGCTACCCAGGAACACTGTAATTGTTAATGCATTGGACTTAACGCTTGGTAAGGTATCATATTGCCACACTTCCTTTAGCTAGAAGGAGGAGCTACAGAATGGAGAAGAGGAGAAAGAAAGGGATTCGTTTGACACAGGACACATGAGTGTGCACCACATTGCAAGCTATAACTGACAGAGTAATGAGCCACACGAAAAGGGGTTGTTGTGAATATATTCTCAGTCTGCAAAAGATTTTGCTACGTTAGTCCTCAGAAGAGACAATATCCAAAAGTTCTCTGGCCACCAGAGATTAGTCCATTTGAACCATTTAAGACATTGGAGTTCTTGTAAACACTCAAAAGCTTTTATAAAGTAAATAAAAGTTACTTTCTGGCCCGTGTATCTAGTATGGGGGAGTTTTTAGTTTGGCCTATCAGATAGATATATTGATATATAGATAGATTTGTTTTGGTCATGTTTCCTATCATAGATCCATAATTTCAGACTCCGTTTTCAATAAAACAAAGGCAAAAAAAGTCATGAGTTTTCATGACTTATTTCAGCAGCGAATGCTTTGCAGGAACCGAGTTTCATTCAGAATCAGAGTTGCCTTATGCTCCCAAGTGATGCAGTGTGCTCAACTGTCTTGTATTTTCCAGGTTTGCTGTCATGAACAGGAAAGTTTTGGATGTATTTGGTACTGAAGCATCTATGAATTTCAAGGACTTCGTACCTGCGCTTGACCCAAGACATACAGTGGCTCCACCAGAGAGGCCCGTTGAGCGATCTTGGTAGTGAGACGCTAGCCTGGGACGAAGTCTGGCTGATGTTTGTGCTGAGAAGTTAAATTAACTTTAACAGTCAAATAGACCGAAGAGGGCTTGTGTTCCACTTCAGTATTGTTTCAGTGAGTTGCGTTATCTTACCAATCAAAACGTTGCTAAAGCACCGTAGCGAGATGCGGCTTTTAATTCTGCCGCTCCCTTAGTAGAAAGTGTCTTTGGATCACTGTGGCTGGTTGACGCAACCTGGTAGATTTTTGACAGAATTATATATCAATGGATTAATATATCAAAAAAAGATCGGGGGTGGTTGGGTGGGTTAAAGTACGTGAATGTACTTAAAATAAAAATAACACCATTTTGAAAACAATTCATTTTAATTCATTCCGGTAGATAACTTAATAACGATATTTTTACATTTAGAAAATGAAAGGGACATTGGAGATACAATGTCAGAATTCTATAAATTTTATTTTGAAAGTCAGATTTTAGTGGGGAATGTTTTCTCTGTTCCAGATAGATGGTTAAAAACAAACAAAACATTGTTACTGGAAAATGTTTAAAGAGCCAATGTACCATATTTATGACTGTACTGTTTATATCCAGCTTTGGCTTTGAAAAAGCCCCACCCCCCGCCTCTTCCCTTAAGTCGAATTGCATACCTCGAAAGCTGCCGAGAGATTAAAAAAATATATAGTGGGCATTTAGGCCTGAGTAATGTAGTTCTTCAAATACGTGTATGAATAACTAGAAAGGACAAGACCACCACAGAATGGAATGTAGTATTGTTCTTCAGGTTTTGAGCTGAGCCTCACAAGATATACTAGATGGTTTGAAGAGCAAAAAATTGAAAACCTATATACAAGAGACTTAAGAAGATGATTGTGCCCTTGAATATGAAATTGACTTGATTTTTGTAAGCTTCCGTACTATGTCAGTAATCCAGTGGCCTTCCAAAGGAGTCAAAACCCCAAAGTTTGAAAGGGAAGCAAAACAGATTGAATTTTTTTTTGAGAACATTGATGCTGTTTGCTTCTACAGATTTTGTTCTTTTTTTTAAAAAAAGTGTAGCCGACATACAAGAGCCATATTACAAGTATGTTAAATTTAGGGCAAGCTGGTCATTGCTCGAAATCCACTGCCCCTCTTTCCCTGTCTGATCCCTGTGGAACCTTGATGCCCAGATTCCATTTCTATGATCAATTCAGTTGGGTGCGGGCTGCAGTGAAGGAGCCTTTGGATGGAAAAGACATTGTACTTAGAGTTGTCTGATTTATCAGAAGCTGAAATGTCTGTGCTTCGAAAAACATCAGAAAGATTAGAGAGACTGTTCAGATTCTTCTTTAATTGCTGCAGAGTTGTCGTTTTTTCCAGCTGTGTGTGTATTTGTGCACATGAAAATTACCTAACAGAATAATTTCCAATATAAGAGTGAAATTATATTTCCAAAGAACAGCAGTAGCATAATATCTCTTTAAAACATCCCAGGGAGCAAGCAGTATTTTGAGTTTGTGAAAACTTTCCTTCAAGCTGCTTATAAAGTGCAACACTGGAAGAAAAATATGATTAAAAAGCCTGCAGTTTTAGGTACTCTTGATTTTGGCTTTTTTTTTTTTTTTTAAAAGCCAGCAAGTTCTTTTTTCCTATTTCTTCTTAAAATTTAACATCGTTTCCAATGAATTTTTCTGGTGAACTCGAAAAGCACACTCACTGTGTCACGAACTATTTAATTTTAGTTAAAGCAAATAAAGGTATTATGCTACCATTGCTGTTTGATTTTTATTTTTTTTAATGGACCAATATATTTGCCTCCGTTTATTTTCTGCTCTAGCGCATAAACTTGCACGTTGGCCTTTTAAGTGAGTGCTGGTCATACTTGTTACATGTTGTTGGGTTTTCCTCATGCACTAAATTTTATATCAGGGTTGCCAAATGAATCCATAGCTTCCCTTTGAGGTAGGGGAGAAGTACGATTAACTAACACAGTGAACCGCTACTGCTGCCGAATGATTGTCAGAAGTGTCTTTGAAGAACAAAAATGTCAACATCTGGCTACACAAAACGTTTTTTGCATACCTACAAGAGATGATGAACAAATCCCCTGACTGGGATAACAGTGGCGGAAAGTTTATTTGGTAAAGACTCTGGAAAGAGTACAGGCATTGAACTCAGGGACATTATGCCACCCACATGCCATATAATATAACAAAAAGACAACCCCAAAAGAAGAGAAACCCCTTGGAAGTGAAAGTGGTCTCCACAACCAACAGTAGTCCCATTGTCTTGACTATTCCATGTAATTCCATGAATAGAAAAGCTCTGGTATGGGTCAAGAACTTAACTTATAGGGCTTAGAGCAGGTGGTTGCAGTACACAGAAGCAACCATGCACTTGGAGCTATATTGACACTATTTCCTGCCCCAAAGTACCAAACCATCCAGACCTTCGTGTGTGAAACTTGGTCTTCCTCCTTGTATGGGCAGCCTGTGCCCAGAGGCCTCAAGTCTCTGGTGCCATGCAGTGGTTGACAAGCCACCAGAAGCTCGCACTTCCTGCTCTCCAGAGTACGAGGGGCCCAGGGTCATGCCTGATGTTACCAAGAGCTGAGTGCTTGGCCCTTGCTTCTTTCTTCTCCAGGACAACGTGGGAAGATCAAGGAAGGAGGCTCCAGAGCAGATGGAGATGGTTTGATCGAAAGACTTTGCGTGAGGATGGTTCCAGGGAAGCATTTGTGATAACCATGAAAATGGCTCAGCAACCAGTGCGTGCCCAGGCGTCTTGAATGCCCGCAGTGGTTCTGAGCTTCGTGGTGGAGCTAACTTGGCAGCAAAGAGTGTGGAAGGGGGAAGGCAACTAGCAACCAGGCTGAGCGTCAAGTCTTGGAGGTACATGGACAGCAAGGGAGAGATTCACCCATCAGAATATGGTAGTCAGATTTTTGGACCATATCTAGGTCTCTTATCTCATTAGTTTGAACACCTTACTGGGCATTTTGGCTTACGCGTCTATAACATGTTTTTCTATTTCAGCCGAGATCTTTTTATACACCTTTGTTCACAACCAAACTTACTGTAATTGTGCCATGGCATCCAAAGTGGTATAGTTTGGCTCAGACCACTGAACCACCTCTGTCTCTGTACTGGCTTGAAATCCTCTGTCAGACTGAAATTGCCTCGTAACAGAATGTTCCCCCCCCAGTTTTACTTAAGCAGAATTGTGTTACGAGTGGAAAATTGACTGTCCCTTTGCAACCCTCAGAAGACAAACCAGCAAGACCTGATGATCTCGTTCACCACTAGAAGCTGTTCATTGAGGCTGTGCCAAATTTTCACGAGGCCTGAGATTTTTCTTTTTTGCAGTGAAAACTGGCATTTCATGGGTCATTACGTTTTGACTGAAGGAATAGCATTCCTGGAGGAGGAGGAGGAGGAGGAGGAGGAGGAGGAGGAGGAGGCGGCGTTACTCTTCACTGCAAAACTACCGTCCCTCAAGTTCTCTTGTCCAAAGCACTGGTCAAGGGAGAAGGAGACGATCCATACTTTTCTGGACATTACTTTAAAGGACTCGTTCCACAGTAATATGCACAAAGTGTGAACCTCCTTCTCCTCCCTTTTTCTGAGAAGCAAATTCAAAAACAGAGGCCGATCTCTCCCCCCCCAGCTCAACCAAAATGCTGTCCACATGATTCATGTATAAGGATCTGTAACTTGGAGGTCAGATTCAAACACAGAAGGAAGGAAGCTGCCATGAATGTTTGCAGGAAACAGAGAGAGGGGAGGCACAAGAGCATTGCGTCTTCTTCTCTGTAGACTTCCTGGTCTTTTAAGAAGGCAAGGGATACTAAGTCCCCTCATCAGATGAATGCACATCCATCACTTTGGGCCAGACCTAGCAGTGTGGGGAGAAGCACAACTCACACTTCCTCTTTCACCTCTTTATTTGAACACCAGAAATAGAATCATAGAATTGGAAGAATGATAGAAAAATAGGGTTGGAAAGGGATCATGAGGGTCATCTATTTCAATCCCCTTGCAGGGCACGAATCTCAGCTGAATCATCCATGACAGGTGACCATTCAACCTCTGCTTTAACAAGGAAGGAGAGTCTACCACCTCCTGAGGGAGACCATTCCACCATTGAATAGTTCTTCCTGTCTGACTGTTCTTCCTGATGTTTATTCCAAGTTTCTCCAAAATCTGTGGGACTTGGCTTAGGATCCAGGGTAATGAGTGTGGGGCATTTTGAGTTTTTCTTCATTAGGATGAAATGGTGAGTTAGGGACTCTGTGGGAGCTCTTATCTCAAACGGCTTCCGCCATTCCTCTTGTCCTCTGTGTTTCATATTTCTTGGTGATCATGGTTTTTGTGTAATGATACATTTTAAAAATATGTTTTAAAGAGCCTGTGATTTTAACTGGAACGGTTGGAAGTAAACAGTGAGCCTTGCCACCTCTCATCTCTGATTATTAAAACATTTCCTTACTGGACAAGTTGCAATGCTTGGATTGATTTAACAGAATAAAATTATTTGATGGAACCTGTTTCTCAGACGCCAGGCTTTCTGACCTAAAGCTTGAAGAGACCATTTTGTTGAAATAATCATACAGAAAAATCTGTTAAATGCACACACACACTGCTGATACTACAAATATCCACAAGAACACCTTTCGTGCATGTGGTGAGGGACCTTTCACACTGAACTTGTGGGTGGCAGAGTGGATGACTCCAAAACAACAGCACAGGGCATGGCCATGAGACCATAAATGTGTGAGGGGGTTCACCTTACACCATTACTGAAAGCAGATTAAAAGGTAAAGGTAAAGGTACCCCTGCCCGTACGGGCCAGTCTTGCCAGACTCTAGGGTTGTGCGCTCATCTCACTCTATAGGCCGGGAGCCAGCGCTGTCCGCAGACACTTCCGGGTCACGTGGCCAGTGTGACAAGCTGCATCTGGCGAGCCAACGCAGCACACGGAACGCCGTTTACCTTCCCGCTAGTAAGCAGTCCCTGTTTATCTACTTGCACCCGAGGGTGCTTTCGAACTGCTAGGTTGGCAGGCGCTGGGACCGAGCGACGGGAGCGCACCCCGCTGCGGGGATTCGAACCACCAACCATTTAAAGCAGATTAAATGGCCACAAAACCCTTACGTGATCATTAGAACCTTGTTGGCGTGGGCTGCTTTGGGAGGGAGAGCCAGACAGAAATCAAATCTATCAATAAAATTGCCAACTCTGGCTGTTCTCATGGGCTCCAGCAGCTTCCTGTGTTCCTTCAGCAAGATCAGGGACCTCTGGAATGAAACTCAACTCAGGACAAGTTTGGCTTCATTGCCTGAGGCGAGTTCAGCAGGGCCCACATTGCAGTATTAAAAGCACTGGACCTCCCCCCCCCCGCCAAAAACCAGTGCTTGTTACAGCTTGCGATGGCCAACAGCTGACTTGATTTTCAGAGTGCAGTATGATATTAAGCGAGAAATACTTCATCACAAACGTGACAAAGCAACCATACAACACAGCCAGCTGTTACACATGTTAAAACATTGGGAGGGGGGAGGGGATTCAGTGTTACACATGTCAGCCTGGAGAGAACTGAATTCAGGACACGAGGACAGAGAAATTTTGCAGAAATTCCTACCTTCCGTACACAGAACGGAATGTGTATTGGAATAGAACAAACTGCTGAAGCTATAATTAGCGTCCTCTTCTTAGAAAAGCTGCCCCGCTGAAGAGAACCAGTTTGCTGCAGAAAATGGGAACTGGAGTGGGGTGGCCAGTTTTGCTTCCTTTTACATAACAGACACGTAAGAAGAGTCTGTTGGCTCAGTCCAATGGCTCATCTAGTCCAGTGTTCTCACATGGGCCAACCAGATGCCTTGGGAAACCCTCAAGCAGGATTCCACCACAATATCCTTCTCCCCTCCTGTGGTTTCCAGCAACTGGTATTCAGAGACTTTGCTGTCTGCAACTATGGAGGCAGAGCACAGCCATCATGGCTAGTAGTCACTGATAGCTCTCTCCTCCACTGATTTGTCTAATCCTCTTTTAAAGCCACCATCGTCTCCTGTGGGAGCAAGATAACGTTCTCCATAACTGGTCCCGGTTACTAGACCAGCAGCTGTGTTTTGTGCCCCTCTATAATATTTCCAGGAAGTCTTCAAGGGTCACCCTTTGTACAACGTGTTGCAATAGTCTACACTGGAAGTTAGAGCGCAAACTGGCCTCCAGAATATCCCTGACTTGGCTTCACAGCTGCCTCATCAGCCTTAGTTGCACATGGTCCTTCAGAGATGACAGTAGATCCATCCATCCATCCGAAGAAACGCCATGGTACACCTCCATCAGCAGAACCAGACGCCGTCATCCACCCCAGTTGCAACAAACCATTTCTCTCCCATGTCGGCCTCTACATACGCAGCAGGTGCTGTAACTCTCCAATGGTTTGACTTCAGCCCAAAGGCACACTTTTCCATTGTCTCCCAAAACAGACGGACACTCGCATTATCTCCCTGCTACCTCACCTTTGGCTGCTCAACTCCTTGGCAGGCACCTGGTAAGCATATGCAATCTTTGTGTCAGCTGTTACATATGCAGCCCAGTGTTATGGTGTGCATCAAGATCTGTGGCTTGGGGAACGCTCCCAACATTGGTGTCAGAAGTGGACTTGATCAGAGGTTTCCAGACACCCTCTGAAAACTAGTCAGCGGGGCAAGGAAGGCAGCATAGCTGCAGTGCAGTCTTTTTCAAACCTTTTCAGGCCCCTTGGTTCCAGAAAAACTTGTCTTCAGTGCCTGCTTTACAAAGCATTATTCAGCATAGCAGTTTGCACAACCCACAAAGGAAGAAGACACAATAAAATTCAAAGCACTAACAATTGCACATTTATTCAAAATCCAGTATAAACAATGAATGAACCTGGTCCTGTGATACTAGCTTTTCAAAGTCTTCATCGTTACACCTTTAGCATCCCCTGCTGCCCTCTTGCCTCTCAGTGACCCAGCAGGTAATCCCACCATCCCCCAGGGGCAGTACTGCCCACTGGGGGAACTATGGCTATGGCTGTTAAAAGCTCTTACAATGGTACCTCGGGTTAAGAACTTAATTCGTTCCGGAGGTCTGTTCTTAACCTGAAACTGTTCTTAACCTGAAGCACCACTTTAGCTAATGGGGCCTCCAGCTGCCGCCGCGCCGCCACCTCACAATTTCTGTTCTCATCCTGAGGTAAAGTTCTTAACCCGAGGTACTATTTCTGGGTTAGCGGAGTCTGTAACTTGAAGTTTCTGTAACCTGAAGCGTCTGTAACCTGAGGTACCACTATATGCTTCTTGCAGCTTCCGTAAGTATAGCTTAGGGGTAGGCAACCTAAGGCCCGTGGGCCCAATCGCCTTCTAAATCTGGCTGCGGACGGTCCGGCAATCAGCGTGTTTATACGTGAGTAGAATGTGTCCTTTTATTTAAAATGCATCTCTGGGTTATTTGTGGGCCATAGGAATTCGTTCATTTTTTTTCTTTCCAAAATATAGTCCAGGCCCCCACATGGTCTGAGGGACGGTGGGCCGGCCCCCTGCTGAAAAAGGTTGCTGACCCCTGGTATAGCTGGATGCTGCAATGAAGGCTGTGCTGAATGTTCTTTGATTTGGGGGTTTAGGATGATGACAGTGCTTGCTGGAGAACCAAATACCAACCACCGCCCCTTGACACCAGTGACAATTTATCCCCCCCAGCTTCAAGCTCCCGTCTCCCAGATCAGTTTCTGCTTTGGCACCAGTGGGGGAGACATTCCTCCTTTTTGCAAGGAGTTGAGACCAGGCAGACACAGCAGGCAGTACCCAGTTTCACTCGACACTGGCTGGCATTTTCCCGTAAATCTTTTGGCAGGTGGATTTTTATTGTCTTTCCCGAATAAAATGCCCCTCGATTCCCAGACGCAATTTCATATGGTGTTGCTTAAGTCGCTGCCCCCGAGACCATAATATTTGATATACCCAGAATGGTGTGTCTTGGCAACTCCTTGGACACTAGATCCCGAAGGGGATTTTATACGATGCCTCTATTAAATTTCTCCCAGATAGTTATCCCGGCCACCAGAATCTGCTGTGCTGTCAATATAAGAAAAAGTCTTTGTTCAGAATGTGAAGGATATTCTTCTGAGAATTATTGCACGAGGCCAGTCTGCTAACAGCATAATCTTGATCCAGGTTCTGAAAAACATGGCTCATTTATATATTTATGCATCTCATAAAACGTGTACACTGCTTTAAAATATCATTAAAATAAACAATTAAGGTAAAAATCAGATTATATTACATGTTTGGATAAGCCAGTCTAAACAAAAGTGTTTCCAGCAGGCGTTGAAAAGTGTGGAGTCATGGTGCCTGTTTAATATCATCATCATCATCAAACCTTTTATTGGCATCACATCTGTCAGGGAACTGCCATCGGACGGAAGGGAGGTGAAAGGGCTCACACAGGTTGGGAGAGACGCAGCAGCTGAAGAGGGAACCAGCAGGGAGGTGAAAGGGCTCACACAGGTTGGGAGAGACGCAGCAGCTGAAGAGGGAACCAGCAGGGAGGTGAAAGGGCTCACACAGGTTGGGA